TTACTGCCAGTACTAAAAGAGGTTATCAGAAACCAACTTCCTACCAAAATCTGGGGAAAATATTTTAGAGCTAGTGAAATAATTTATCGCAGGCCTACTTACTAGGGAGAAAGTGTGGGCTCATTCTGTATCCACAACTCCCTCATAATCTTAAGGGAAATACAAGTAATTCATTTCCTTCTACGGAAACAGGATTTAACACATTTAGCAGGAAGGAACATTTCTCTTATTTCTTTTCCTTTCTATTCTCCCTCTCCGCATCCCCAAAACTTTATTAAAGGGTATAGTTGACAAATAAAACTTGCATATATTTATGGTGTACAGTTTTGATATATGTATATATTGTGAACTGATTAAGTCAATCTAGTTGACATATCCATCACCTCATATACTTATTTTTTTGTATGAGAATTTTAAAAACTGGCCATTTGCATTGGCTCACACCTATAATTCCAGCACTTTGGGAGGCCGAGGGGGGCAGATGACCAATTGTTTGGCCAGAAAAATATGATCATACATTCCCCAAAGCAAAAAATCTTCTAGGCCATATTGTCTGGTAGCAATGGAAAAGGAAAGATAAAAATAAGGATATGAGGCCAGGCACGGTGGCTCACGCCTGTAATCCCAGCACTTTGGGAGGCCGAGGTGGGCGGATCTCCTGAGGTGGGGAGTTCCAGAGCAGCCTGACCAACATGGAGAAACCCCGTCTCTACTAAAAAAAATGCAAAATTAGCCCGGCGTGGTGGCGCATGCCTGTAATCCCAGCTACTCGGGAGGGTGCGGTGAGCCGAGATCGTGCCGTTGCACTCCAGCCTGGGCGAGCGAAACTCCGTCTCAAAAAAAATAATAAATAAATAAATTAAATAAAAATAAGGGTATGAGACATGGCAGGTTTTGCCACTTAGGCTGAACAGGCCTCAGCTGTGGCCTGAAAATAAGATCCTGTGGGTTTTGTGTGGACCAGGGGCTTCTTTTTCTCACATTTGATTGGTACTCGTGCCTGCCAAATGGGAACTGTGAAATGCGGCGGACAGTTGGTGTCAACGGGAAAGCAGGCCTGAACCAGATGGCCCTTCCTTTATGGTCTTGTGTCACTCAGCTGCCTGAACTGGGGACCTAGTCAACCCAAGGCTGGCGTCAGTCTTTTTGCTGAAAGAGAGATCTCCAGAGCTTACTGAAGAGCCTTACAAAGTCTTAGGTCCAGACTGAGGGCGGGTACGGGCGCAGGGTAGAAAGAGGATGTTAAGGAGGGGAGTGATGGATGATGGCGGTGGAGAGTTCACCTCTGTTGTGGCTGAACGTTCAGCGGCCTGGTTAGAATTGCCATCTCTCAAGCATACTAAAGTTTGGCACAAGCTATTTTGGGGCCAGAACTGCGCGAATATTCCGGAGGGTTTCTGGCCTTCTCTTCAGAAGCTAGAAGGCTGACGCTAGGTTTGGGAAGGAGCAGGGAGAGGCCATTCTGAGCAGGGCCTCTTTGACGTGGTATGTGGGTGAGAGCTTCTGCCGTGCCTTCAGTCGTGAAGGGTCTTGAGTTTCTATAGCTTAATGATTCATCATTGGCCTGGTGCAGTAGCTCACGCCTGTAATCCCAGCACTTTGGGAGGCCAAGGTGAGCTGATCACTTGAGGTCAGGAGTTCGAGACCAGCCTGGCCAACATGGCAAACCCTGTCTCTACTAAAAATATAAAAAATTAGCCGGGCGTGATGGCATATGCCTGTAACCCCAGCTACTCAGCAGGCTGAGGCAGGAGAATCACTTCAACCTGGGAGGCGGAGGTTGTCAGTGAGCCGAGATGGTGCCAATGAAACTCCAGTCAGAGCAAAAAGAGTGAAACGCCATCTAAAAAAAAAAAAAAAGAAAGAAAAGAAAGGACAACAGAATTATGACCGCGATGGAATATTTACTCACCAAGTGGGTGAGGGCTTTGTGCAAATTTCCGTCTCTTTTTTTTTGAGACTGCGTCTCACTCTGTCGCCCAGGCTGGAGTGCAATGGCATGATCTTGGCTCACTGCAACCTCCACCTCCTGGGTTCAAGCGATTATCTTGCCTCAGCCTCCCGAGTCGCTAGGATTATAGGGGTCTGCCGGCTAATTTTTGTATTTTTAGTAGAGATGGGGTTTCACCGTGTTGGGCAGGCTGGTCTTGAACTCCTGACTTCAAGTGATCCAGCTGTCTCAGCTTCCCAAAGTGCTGGGATTACAGGCATGAGTCACCACAACTGACTACATTTCTCTTACTTGTAGAAATAAATGTGACATTTTTAAACCTGAGTACAGCGTAGTAAAACGCAAATCAGTTATGCTGGTTTCTAAAAACTGCCTATGTTGAGGGTGTTCAGAAGGGGGAGCTGTGTGGTCTAACTTGTAGAACCCAATAGAAGGTTCCTACTGTCCCCAAATAGCTCCCCTACCACCTCATCTGTGCCTGGCATTTTTGTCATTAGCATTATTCCTGTACTTCAGGTATTTCCTTAGTAAGAGGAAACCTTTAACACCTGTGACCTGACTGGCATGGCAGACTGCAAGGAGCTGGACCAAGAGCAGTCCAAATTAGGAGACTTCGCTCTTTAGGTCTCTTTTCTGCGTTTGGTGAAACAACCACATCAAAAGGCCAATTTTGGCTTAACTGCCCCTCAAAGCACGTGGTGTGGTGGTGTGCAGCTTCCTTCCGGGGGCCTCTGCCTCCTCTGCACCCCAGAATCTTTTCCTACCATGGAAGCTGCTCCTGACCATTGTTGATCTGCAGCAGCAAAAGGCGACACAAGGCCGGGCACGGTGGCTCACGCCTGTAATCCCAGCACTTTGAGAGGCCAAGACCGGTGGATCACCTGAGGTCAGGAGTTTGAGACCAGCCTGGTCAACATAGTGAAGCCCCATCTCTACCAAAAATACAAGAAAAATTAGCTTGGTGTGGTGGCAGGTGCCTGTAGTCCCAGCTACTCAGGAGATTGAGGCAGGAGAATCACTTGAACCCGGGAGGTGGAGGTTGCAATGAGCCGAGATCACGCCACTGCACTCCAGCCTCTACAACAGAGCCAGACTCCGCCTCAAAAAAAAAAAAAAAAAAAGTGACACAAGCACAGCAGGTCCCAGGAGTCCCACATCCTGCCCCTGCCACCTGACCTCTCCTCCATATTAGGGAGGTAGGGAATCCTTCCCAAGTTTCCTGCTTATAATTTCTTCGATAGGGTACTCCTTTTTCAGGAAGTGGAATTGTGAGTTGCTTACTGGAAACTCCCTTTCATTAATTCTTTTTATATCCATAAGCTCAGGCCAAAAATCTCATTATCATTCCTGATTCCGTCCTTTCTCTCACTCTCCACATTCAGGCCATCAGTGAGGTCAGTCAGTTCCATCTTCATGAGGCATCTCAAACCACAAGGACATAATTTACATAGAAAAAATAAACCTGTGTGTAGTGCATGGGGGCAATTTGCTAGCAGCTTTTTTATTGAAGAAGGCTAAAGAACACAGGAAGTGGAGGTTAAAGGTTTGACTGCATAGGAACAAAAGTTTAGGTCTCAGGATTTTAAAACAGGATGAAAAAAAGCTGAGTTTTAAAATACACTGTATTTTCCACTCTTGCTCTACCATAAGAAAAAAACTTCTTTTTTTTTTTTTTTTTTTTGAGATGGAGTCTTGCTCTGCTGCCCAGGCTGGAGGGCAGTGGCGCAATCTCGGCTCACTGTAACCTCTGCTTCCCGGGTTCAAGCGATTCTCCTGCTTGTTCCCTCCTGCCTCGGCTAGACTTGTTCCTTGAGTCTGTAGCTCAATGGTTGTTCTTCAGGACAGGGACGTTTTTACCTGGAAGGAAGTCTTTCCAGAGGAAGGAGGTGTGAATTAGGGAGATGTGGAGTGAGGGAAAGGAGTTCATTACCTCCACCAGACCATGAGCTCCCTGGGAGCTGGGCCAGAGACTGGTTTCCTTTGAGGATCAGTGAAGAGTATTTTCTTTCTGACTCAAAGGCTGAGAATACAAGCAGGTGCCCTGGTATTGCAAGTGCCAGATGCCAGATTCTAATGAGGATCAACATGTTCCCCACCAGCTGGGAATTGCCTGAAGTTCTGCACAGGGATGTTAGTTTTCCTTCCCTAGAGAGGACTCACTAATGGTTAGACCCAAAAGGAAATGCTTGTAGAGACCTCCCTCCTTCCTCCACCCCTCCACTTCATAAGAGGATGTGGCCAGCTGGGTGCGGTGGCTCACGTCTGTAATCCCAGCACTTTGGGAGGCCGAGGTGGGTGGATCACCTGAGGTCGGGAGTTCGAGACCAGCCTGGGCAACATGGTGAAACCCTGTCTCTACTAAAAAGTATAAAAATTAGCCAGGCGTGGTGGCACATGCCTGTAATCCCAGCTACTTGGGAGGCCAAGGCAAGAGAATTACTTGAACCCGAGAGGTGGAGGTTGCAGTGAGCTGAGATCACACCCCTGCATTCCAGCCTGGGTGACAGAGAGCGACTCTGTCTCAAAAAAAAAAAAAAAAAAAAAAAATTGGGATGTGGCCATGGTGGGAAGGGTGTGGGGCTTTGGCACATTTTTTCCTGGGTTCGAATTCCTGCTCTACCACTTAGTGGTGAGGTAACTTTGGGCAAATTACCTTCCTAAGCCTGTTTGTTTTTTTTTTTGTTTTTTTGGTTTTTTTTCATTTTAAAGGTGAAAAGAATAATGTGACAAGCCTTGTAGGATTGTTATGAGCATCAAATGAGTTAATAAAGTTAAAGTGTTTGATACAATGCCTGGTTAAACAAAGTCAATGCTCAATACACTTTAGTTATGATTGGCACCTCCATAAGGGAGTGGGTATGGCCGAACATCCAATCCGCTGTGTCTTGGCCTGGGAAAACCCTGGATCCTGAGTAGCAAATGAGTGGGAAGAGTCCCAAGATGGTGCTGGGAAGGATGCAACAGGCAATGAGCTTCCCTATCTTGCCCACCCCAATTATGACATCATCACTCTGATGGGGATTGTGTCCCCAGAATGTGGCATCCTCAGAGGCCCAGTGCTGCTCATACTCTGCCCTTGTCTCAGCCTTCAGGGCACCCCAAGTTTGCTGTGCTCTAAGAAATGGGTAAGCACAAATTTCCAGAAAAAACCGCGAAGTCAACCCGAGGAGGTTGATAGAGGTTGGTTAGAATTAACTTTTGCCCAAAGAGAGACGCATGGGCTGGAAGAAAGAGAAGAAGCAATTTGTTTTGCAAATCAGGGACCTGGATCTGTCATCAAGTTTCCCACTGTCGAAAGGGGGGTTCATGGCTCATTTTCATGGGACACATTGGTTGGGGATGGGAGCGAGGAAAAGGTGACAGATACACATCTGGGCTCACACTCCTGTGGCTGCTCAGAGGGGAAGAAAAGCAGCCTCTTCTGTTTGAGGCTTGTTAGACCCAAGCCTTCTGAACTGCCCACCCAGCAGAGAAAATAGGCGGGAAGAGAAACTGAACAGAGAAGTGGAGGAGGAAGCTCACACCATGTGGTTGGTGGTGCTACTGGTTTTATACTGCCAGAGCTAATAACCAGGTGTATTTATGAGGTTTCTGCCTTTTGATAACCTCAGAGCAGGCCACATCTTCTGACTTGGCCATAAATGGGGAAAGGGCCTTGCCTAAGGTCGGTACTGAGTCAGAGGTAGGACCTGGGCAGGAGGCCTTTCAGCAGTGGTGTCTGCAGGTGGAAAACCCGAGCAGCCCTTTCTCCTGCTCAACCCCTATGTCTCTCAGGACATAGAGCAAGTGGTGGCTTCTCAGTCTCCAGCCAGCTCTATGTTCCTTTCCTCCCTAAGTGGCAGGTGTTCTTTTCCTCCCTCCGTCACACACTGTCACCACTTGCTCTATGTCCAGGGGCAACTCTCCCCACTCAGAGCCTGACCACATAGCAGAGGGAAATCTTCCCAGCTTCCTCCTCCAGAAAACCAGCACACAGACCCTCTTCTCCTTAAGGATTTTACTGCTACTTACTAAAGAGAAGTAGAAAAGACCACAACAAGCAACACATCTAGGAGTGTTAAAAACGTGAGCAGTTTTTTCCTCTCTGATCTCTGATCTGATTCATTTGTGTATTCATTCATTCATCTGTCTGTCCATTCATTTGTCCATCCAATGAGTATTTATTAAGCATCTGCTTTGTACCAGGGAGTGTCCTGAGCCCTGAGGATGCAGCAGGGAACAAGACAGATGCAGACATGGTTCCTGTTCTCCAGTGGGTCCTGACTCTCTTGACACAATCATGGGAGCCTATCGACTTGTGCTCTCTGAAGTCCTGGTCCCATGTAGGGGCTGAGGACAGTTCCTACAAGAGCCCACATTTTAGGCCAAAGGCAAGAATAGACAGTCCGAGTGTTTGACCTGCACAGCCAGAAGCAGTGCAGCCGCGGGTGGATGTGCTAGTCTTGATAGAGGAGGGGAAACCAGAAGTCAGGGCCAAATGGGCAGTGTCATTTGTTAAGGAGTGAGCTCAGGGCTGCAAACGAACGAGTCCAGACATTAGGAAGGGGTGGAGAGGAGGAGGGAAGGAGAGGTGGCCACAAATGGGTCAGGATTAGAGAAAGTCACGGGTTTTGGAAATCTATCTTACTGGGAGCTGGTTGAGTGGCAGGAAATCAAGTGTTAATGATGGTAACAGCAACTGTAATCCTTGTCATCAAGTGTGTATTGACTGCTTACTGTGACTGTGCCAGCCACAAGGCAAGCACTTTCCATATACGGTTGGTCTCACATTGAATGGTAAAGCGTTGGCAGGACATCTGCTCTTAAGCATAGAAAGGAATCAAACCTATCCTTTCTAGACCCCAGCAGAAAATTAAGACCAGATGAACCAGCCCACTCCTGACCCCAAGCTCTTCTTACCATCTACATCCTCCAGTGGATATAAAGAGGAAATGAAGGCAGGTGACAGCTCCCTCACCTCAGGTGGACACTTTGCAATCTCTGAGCACCTCATCCTATTGATAGTTTTGTACCCTCCAGGAATGATCATCTTGGAGTGTCACCTTTCAAAGGGACACAGAGTCAAGTGCCTTGGGGGCCAGGCAGGTGGTGTATATGAGTGCAAGTGAAGAAAAACCAACTCTAATTTCCAGAGCGGGAGAAAACCCATGTGGACCGAGGTCATCAGAAGCACACCTGTCCTTGCAAGCATGAAACCTAATTGCCACATCTGCTGATATTTTTTTCAAGAGAAGTCCAAAATTCACAGATTACAATATGAAATCTCTAAATCTTTTAATTGACAAAAAAGATTAACAGGTTAATTAATTGACAAAAAGTACAAAAATTAAAACAATCAATCAATACCTCTCTGGGACTTCAGTTATACAAATCAAATTAAACACATTTTACACTCCGCCTCGCAACATCTCAGCAATATCAAAACTGAGTTCAGGTGAGGCGTGGTGGCTCATGCCTGTAATCTCAGCACTTTGGGAGGTCAAGGCGGGTGGATCATTTGAGGTCAGGTGTTCGAGACCAGCCTGGCCAACATGGTGAAACATCTCTACTAAAAATACAAAAATCAGCCGGGCATGGTGGCAGGTACCTGTAGTTCCAGCTACTTGGGAGGCTGAGGCAGGAAAATCGCTTGAATCCAGGAGGTGGAGGTTGCAGTGAGTCGGGATTATACCACTGTACTCCAGCCTGGGTGACAGAGCGAAACTCCGTCTCAAAAAGCAAACAAACAAACAGACAAAAAAAGTTGAAGGTCTCTGGAATTCATTTCTAAAACATGTTAAGTCCTTCCATGGAGATAGTAACACCGTTAAGCATTGCGTGAACATCATTTTTTACCCAAACTCTAAAGTAGCTTCACAATTCAAGTCATCCAAGGACTTAGGGAGGAGTGGAAAGAGGGGTGAGAGGGTGAGAAAAGAAGGGGAAGGGGAGGGGAAAGGAGAAGATGAAAGAACTGGAGGCACTGGATGTGGTGGGTGGCTCACGCCTATAATCCCAGCACTCTGGGAGGCTGGGGCAGGTGGATCACTTGAGGTCTCGAGTTCGAGACCAGCCTGACCAACATGGTGAAAGCCTGTTTCTACCAAAAATACAAAAATTGTTCAGGAGGCTGAGGCAGGAGAATCGCTTGAATCCAGGAGGAGAAGGTCGCAGTGATCGCGCCACTGCATTCCAGTTGGCCGCATAGCACCTTTTATACAAAGCTGAAGAGAACATTATGCCAAGCACAAGTGGAATCTGTTTTCTGGAGCTGCTACTTTCTCATGAAACCTGACTGGACAATTGGACAATTCGTAGCCTCAAAGTCACACAAATGGTGTGGGGTAAAGAAAGTGGAAGATGGATGATGAGTTGAGTTATACTCTAAGTGGCTACAGGCAGGACAGGTGGGGAGGAAGCAGCCCCAGCCTCAGAGTGCCTGGCAAGCATGGCCCCCTCCTTGCACATATCCTAGCAGAGCCTCCTTGGCATGCAGTTGGCAGGGCTTTTATAGAGGAAAGAGTTGAGACTTTACTGTTTTCACAACAATGGCTCCGTGAAGAAGGCAGAGGTAGCGTTAGGGATAAAAGAGTTAAATCTATCCTTAGATGAGAGGGCTAAGAAACCCAAGGGTGAAAGGACAGAGGCCTGGGAAGTAAATGCAATGGAGTTAGATGCTTTCTAAGCAAAAGGCCAGCTGTGCAGTGCTGGGCCTTCAAGTTTGGGGATGACAGCACAGACAGGGGTCCAGAAGCAGTTCTGAGCCACACAGCCCTGCCTCGCTCATCCTTAGAGACACGCTTCCTGATTTAGTTAAGAGCATGAGATTTGAAGGATGTTCACCTGGTTTCAAATCCTTGCTCCAAGGATTATCTTATTCATTCACTCAGAAAATATTGATTGAGCATCTATGTAGTGCCAGGACACACCAGCAAACAAAACAGACAGGATCCCTGCCCTAATGGAACTTGCATTTGAGTGGGTGGAAGACAGTCAGTAAACCAAATAGTACTAATAAGCCAAATGACAAGATATCTTAGAAGGGGATAGCTAAATGCTATATAGGGGGAAAGGCTGATATGATGGAGCAGGACTATGGGGCTGGGTTCTAGTTTTTATTTTTATTTTATTCATTCATTTTTAGAGACAGGGTCTCACTCTGTCACCCAGGCTGGAGGACAGTGGCACAATCAGGGCTCACTGCAGTCTCAAACTCCTGGGCTAAAGCCACCACACCCAACTATTTTTATGTATGTATGTATGTATGTATGTATGTATGTATGTATGTATTAGTAGTAGTAGTAGTAGTAGTAGTAGTAGTAGTAGTAGTAGTAGAGACAGGGTCTAACTATGTTGCCCAGGCTGGTCTTGAACTCCTGGCCTCAATTAATCCTCCCGCCTTGGCCTTCCAAAGTGCTGGGATTATAGGTATGAGCCACCATCCTTGGCTGAGTTCAAGACAGGATTTATAGAGATGACAGCATTTCAGCAAAAGCTGGAAGGTGAGCAAGTGAGCCATGTGGCTGCCTGAGGGACAGCAGTCTGAGAATGGGAGACAAGCAAGGTGGAAGTATGCCCCGTGTGTTCAAGGAATGGCGAGGAGGCCAGAGTGGCTGAGCAGAGTGAGCTGGGTGACAGGTCATGGGGAATGGATCACATAGTAACCAGGAGGTGCTTCTGGTTTATGGTCTGAGAGCAAGGGACAGCACTGGAGGGATTTCTTTTTTTATTTTCTTGAGACAGAGTCTTGCTCTGTCACCCAGGCTGGAGTGCAGTGGTGCAACTCGGCTCACTGCAACCTCCACCTCCCGGGTTCAAGTGATTCTCCTGCCTCAGCCTCCGGAGTAGCTGGGATTAATGCCCAGCTATTTTTAGTAGAGACAGAGTTTCACCATATTGTCTAGGCTGGTCTCGAACTCCTGAACTCAAGTGATCCGCCCACCTCGGTCTCCAAAGTGCTGGGATTACAGGCGTGAGCCACCACACCCGGCCAGCACTGGAGAGATTTAAGTCGACGGGAGACGCGTGCTGACTTACAATTGAAAACCTTTAAACAGGCTGGGCTCAGGAGGCTGAGGAAGGACAATTGCTTGAACCTAGGAGGCGGAGCTTTCAGTGAGCCGAGATTATGCCATTACACTGCAGCCTGGGCAACAAGAGCAAAACTGTCTAAATAAATAAATAAATAAAATATTTTTAAAAAAACTTTAAACAGGTGGTTGTGTTGTGGAAGGACTGCTGGGGGTCAAGGATGCAAGCCAGGACACTGACCAGGAGGTCACTGCAGTCTTTCGAGAGGGAGTTGATGAGGCTTGCACCTGCCTGGCAACAAGAGAGGTGGTGGAAAGAAACAGGATTCTGGATGAGTTTAGCCTTCCCTCGTTTACTAGCTATGTGACCTTGAAGGTGTCTCTTAACCTCTCTAAACCTCGGATTACTCACTTGTAAAACTGTGGTGATTGAACCTCCCTCAGGGGATTATTGAGAGGATTAAATGAGATAATACACGTAAAGCCCTGAGCACAATCTCTAATAGGCGCTTCACTCATTCCCTTCATTTGCGCAAGTAATGTTTTTTGAGCATGTACTATGTGTTGAACACTGGAGAGAGATCAGCAGAGACATAAACAAGTAACAGAATGTTGTTATAGTTGTAAGTGCTCTGAAACCACAAAGCATGAGTAGAATAGGGAGAACCTGTACAGGGGTAGGGAGGGTGGGGAATGGGGGATTTTAGATAGTGAAGTCAGATAAGAGAAGGCTTTCCTAAACAATGAGGAGCCAGTATGCAGGGATCTGAGAGGAATATTCCAGACAGAGAGGACAGCAAAGACAAAGGCCCTAAAATGAGAATGAGTTTGGTCAGAGCTGAGACGGGGCTGGCTCTCAAGGTGGAGCTGGAGCAAAAGTTAGATTGTGTCTTTATTTAAAATTTTGGGCCAGGCGTGGTGGCTCACGCTTATAATCCCAGCACTCTGGGAGGCTGAGGTGGGTGGATCACCTGAGGTCAGGAGTTCAAGACCAGCCTGACCAACATGGCGAAACCCCGTCTCTACTAAAAATACAAAAATTAGCCGGGCGTGGTGGCGCACACCTGTAATCCCAGCTACTTGGGAGGCTGAGGCAGGACAATTGCTCCAATCCAGAAGGCAGAGGTTGCAGTGAGCCAAGATTGTGCCACTGCACTCCAGTCTGGGTGACAGAGTAAGACGTCGTCTCAAAAAAAAAAAATTGATATTTTATTCATCATGGATTTTTATTGCATTAATTTTGAATTTTGGAAATGTTCTTTATAATGATTACTGAGGTTTTTGGCACCTTTCGAATTTCTCACCCAAGGGGATGTGTCACTTACCTCCCCCTAGTCCTGGCTTTGTGGGCAGAAAGAAGCTGAAAAAAATGGCAGCTGCTATTGATGTTGGAGTTACAGAAAGTCAGGGGTTAGGGAGACTTTTCACGGAAGTTGAGATGGGCTGGTGGGCAAGCCTGTGATTCTGTGATTCCGTCCTTTGAGCATGAGGTCAGGGTTACCGTAAAAAATAATCTAATGAGAAATATCTATCTCTCAGTATTCAATTTTTTTTTTTTTTTAGAAAAATCAAGAGCCCAGTTTACACTCAGAGCTTTTTGTCACGACCCAGACCCCCTGAGATTTCAAGTCCACCAGCTTTCCCTTCACCTCGTTCTCTGAGGCCACATGTGTTAAGGGCACACATTAGAGTCTCCTCCAAATTACTCCAGGTAGGGGAAGAATTCTGGGGCTATGAGGTCTCTTCCCAGGCCCAGTCCTGTACTAATGTCACTGTTCTTCCCCAGTCCCCAGGTGATCTTTTTTTTTTTTTTTTTTTTTTTGAGAGGGAGTCTTGCTATGTCACCGGGGCTGAAGTGCAGTGGCACCGTCTCGGCTCACTGCAGCCTCTGCCTTCCAGGTTCAAGCAGTTCTCCTGCCTCAGCCTCCCACATAGCTGGCATTATAGGCACACACCACCATGCCTGGCTTATTTGTTTATTTTTTTGGTAATTTTAGTAGAGACAGGGTCTCGCCATGTTGACCAGGCTGGTCTCGAGCTCCTGACCTCAGGTGATCCACCCACCTCGACCTCCCAAAGTGCTAGGGTTACAGGCGTGAGCCACCGTGCCTGGCTCATGACCTCTCTATTTTACACAGTTCTTTTGACAACAAGACAATGTGTGCAAACTGCAAAGCTCTAACGAAGTTCCATTTTTCGGCTCTTGCAAAGCTTCAGGCCTCTCTGATACCATTGGAAGAAAACCCTTCTACCCCCTATTCTGTTACCTACCCCCCAGGACCAGCCTGGAATGTTCACAAAATTTGGGTCCCCACAAGTAGCTTTGCTTTATCAGG